GGTTGTTAGGGATAGGAACAGGGTCAGGGTTGTTATGGCTAGGAACCGGGTCAGGGTTGTTAGGGATAGGAACAGGGTCAGGGTTGTTAGGGTTAGGAACAGGGTCAGGGTTGTTAGGGTTAGGAACAGGGTCAGGGTTGTTAGGGTTAGGAACAGGGTCAGGGTTGTTAGGGATAGGAACAGGGTCAGGGTTGTTAGGGTTAGGAACAGGGTCAGGGTTGTTAGGGATAGGAACAGGGTCAGGGTTGTTAGGGATAGGAACAGGGTTAGGGTTGTTAGGGATAGGAACAGGGTCAGGGTTGTTAGGGATAGGAACAGGGTCAGGGTTGTTAGGGTTAGGAACAGGGTCAGGGTTGTTAGGGATAGGAACAGGGTTAGGGTTGTTAGGGATAGGAACAGGGTTAGGGTTGTTAGGGATAGGAACAGGGTTAGGGAGGGAGAGACCAACAGGATCGGACGAAAGTAATCGACCATCCGTCGCCCGAAACCACTGCTGTAAGGAATAGGATAGGCCGCACGGCAGAGGGCGGCACGGGTAACAACACCTCCATGAAAATATGAAATAGACTACGCGCACCACGCGAGAGAAAAGGATCAGGGCAACAAAGTAGGGCTCGAGATGGAGCTAAATAGCGTCGGACAGAAAGGCAAACACAAACACGTTGTTTTTTCCGTCATACTACGGCACAGCAAATCCGTCTTTATCCGCAGCTAAGAGTTGAGTATTTTTGGAAAATCCTCCACCACACATCCCCTTCCCGCCACCGCTGTTCTGGCCTCTGCCTCTGCCTAACCCTTCCACCCCGCCCACCCCCCACTTCCGTCTCTGGCAAACCCTCTCCTCACCGAGTTCGCCTCGGTGAGCGCTGTTGCCACGTCGGGTGCGGTGGTCATGGTGGCCTCGCCCTCGATGGCCATGGCCTCGCCGCCCGCGGTGGCCTTGGTCCCGAAGCCCCCGAGGAGCACGGACACGATGTCGCGGTTCATCGCCTTGCGGACGATAAAAACAAGTGTCGTGAAGTGCAGTAGCGGCCAACGATTTTGGCTGGTTGAGTGAGTGGCACGCGACGCTCAACCCATATCTGACCCCTTCCCACCCGCCGCTTCTCTCCTGAGGAGACCTGAGAACAAAACCCTCAGCTAAATAGCCCAAACGCGAAGATTATAACACTAGGTACCCGTTTGGCAAATTTCCTACCAGCGTGCCAACCAAGGATTCACAAAATATGAACGAAACAACAGCATGGCATGCCATTCTTCTCTTCAGCTACGCCGGTATGAGCCCGTGTGCGCTTGCAGGTGCTTGCAACCACTAAAGACACAATCTACAGTGTCTTGCTCTGAGAGTATGGATGGAACTACGTTGTACGGCATGACCATGCACACAGCATGCCTCCGCGCAGACCTCGCACGCCCTGCGTGTCCGCTTGCACGTTTGGTCACCCCCACCATGTTCCACACACCTTGCACATGATGTCCGTCAAGATCGCCCCGGAAGAGCCGATGAGTGCCCCCACCACGGTAAGCAGCGGCTTGTCCAGCATGAAGCCCTCGGCACACAGGGCCCACCCCGAGTACGAGTTCAGCACGGTGATCACCTGGCGCGGCAGAGGATAAAACACACACACACTACGGCCTTTCAAAGCAGTTTGTGTTTTCAATCGCACTGAAACTGACATATATATTTTCAATGGTCAGTCGGTTAGCGCGGTCGATGCAAATAATGAAAAAAATAAACACACACAGAGATGAAGTGCGTGAGAGCCGCAAGCCACAGGAAGAAAAGGGCGTGCTGTAGATGAAGGCCAGCGTGGTGGTGCAGTCGGTAATCATGGCACACAAGTACACCCGTCTTCCGAGCGCAGCCATTTTCTGGGCTCCTCGCACCGAGTGCTATACGCTGTCACGACCGAACACACGAGGTTTCGTCTTGTTTCGTTTCAACGGACAGCGGGCCGCAGGTGCTTCGACCATGCATCGCCCAAAAAGCCTCGGCGCCTTGGGCGCTTAACCCTGCTTGCACAACCCGCCTGCGTCCAAGGTAATTTACGTCCTCTCCGATTCTAAAACTCTCCGGACACGTTGTACATTGTCTCGTCTGGTTTCTTACCACCGGCATGTCGGCACCCCCGATGGATGCAGTCATGTGCGCCCCCAAGAAGCCCGATCCGGCGGCGGAGAGCCCGAGCAGCGCGCATCCCATCTACAGCACAGCACACAGCATAGTCAGTGGTGTAGCATAAATCACAACACGGGGGAGGGGACGGTCACAGAGAACGAGGAGGGACCTCGGGTGACGCTAACATGGGGGGCAGGCGGAGGGGGGTATGGTGTAGACAGAGCGTGGTAAACGTTCTGGCGTGAGGCGTAGGAGCAAGGTTAAGGCTGTTTCCCCGTCAGCGCGGAAGTAGCAGCAAAGTCCTCGCCAAAACTTGCCATGATCATCTACTTGACGACCGCAAGCCAGAGAAGTCCCACATCTTACACCAACATTGTAACAACAACAACAACAACAAATAACAAGAGCAATAGCAACAACGGCATCTAAACGCGTGTCAACCGAGCGATACTATCCCACAGGATGCATGCATGGTGTTGTACAAACTTCTGTATGAGACACAAATATCCTGACGCGCGTTCCGGGGCACCATTCAAGAGAGAGACAAAAAACTGAAGCTGTATCGACGTGAAGGGTCTGTCAGCAGTGCCTCCCCCCTCCCTCCCTCCCTCCCTCCCTCCCTCGTGGAAAACCTCAACAGAAGTTGAGCCGAATAAGCTGGAAGCGGGACAATCATGAGTAACTTCTCAACCCTGGATTCAGGATCTCCAGGAAAGGTCAGAGTCAGGTCGACAACACTTGGGACTCTGTACTTTTGAATTGGCGGCGTGAATGAACCCAGGGACGCGATGATACTTGGGGGGTTCGGACTGTACGGCAGTAACAGGGTGGTGATTTCGCTTGGTGTACTGCTGTACGTACCGCAGGAGAAGAGGGTCCGACGACAAAGGCAGCCATGCCCCCCAGGCACGCCAGCCCCACGCCCGCGTTCATCGGGTCCCTACCGGGCAGCTTGAGGGCCGCAGACGGCAGCAGTCCCTGCAAAAACACAACGACGAGTAATGACACAATGAGGGTGCAACGATACGACAGCGCGAGGAGAGCACATCACATCACGGCTTAGGGTGTATACAAGAACTCAGGCGAACGAATCGTAGCAAATAACGATTTTGGGTACATGTAGTCGGCCGGTGACCACAGAAAGTGCCCGAGCCAGGTGGACCAGTGCGGATGCCAAGGTGGTACTGAGTAGCGACCGTTTTTTTATGTAACAACAACAACAACAACAACAAAGAAGAAGGAGAAGGACAGCACATCACAGCAGCCTTCATCGGGCATAGCACGTTAGGTGCGAAAGTTAGCTTGAAACGAAGCGCTGAGGCCTCCGAGAAACCCGCTGCAAGGCATGGCAAGACTACCGTGTAGACAGACTAACAAACAACAAACACCACCAACCTGCAGCTTCCCGAAGGCTACGACCGAGCCGGTAGCCGTAGCCCCGCCGATGAAGGATGCCAGGTACACCGCGCTCATGCGCACCGCGTCCGCCGTCGCCGCCGGGTCGTGCATGTGGTGCGTGTAGTCGCCCACCGCGGTCCCGCAGGCCGCGAGCCCCACGAGCGAGTGGAACGCCGCCACCGTCTGGGGGAGCTCGGAGGGGCCGACCCTCTTCGCCACCTGTACATATTAGTTTTTCGGTCCCCGTTGGTTTGCGAGAGAGGGCAGGGGGGGCACGCATGGAATTAACGGGGGGAGGGGAACGGAGCTACTGTATCGGAAAAATGCACACGCCAACGAGAAGTGGCACGACTGCTTGTGGTTACTGTAGGGTGATGTTTTCCTCCAAGATCTACACATGAAAAACAAAAAAAAAAGACGAAAAAAACATTCAGCAGAACTTAAAAAAAACAGCGCAGCACACTTAGGTAGCACACACCAGCAGCAACAAAAAACAAAGAATTCTCAAACCTGGTATCCGCCCACGCCTCCGACGCCCATCAGCCCGGCCAGCTGCGCCAGCTGCGCCGGGCCGGGCGCGAGCGTCCCCACCGTGGCCGCCACTCCGAAGGCCACCCCCGACATACCCAGCACGTTGCCGAGGCGCGCGGTGCTCTGCGAAGAGAGGCCGCCGATCCCTCCGATGCAGCACACGGCAGACGCCATGGACACAAGCTGTAGGCAGGGGGGAGGGGGGAGGGGGGGGAGTCCACGGAGATTTGTGTTAGATGCTGTCGCGTTTTGGTTCAAATGTGGCGTGTGGGGGGGGGCGATTCGGTGCAGGGAAACGAGGTTTGCGCGTATCTGATTTCCCTCGTGTTTGGTTTTGGTGGCATGGGATAGTGTCCGAGGCACGGCTCGACACAGAGACGTGCTGCTTCCTCTTGTCTTGTCTGGCGTGGCAGCAAGTGGCGTGTGGGGGACGGGTCGGGGATGGAGTTGGAAGGGGTGCATGGGCGGTGCTTGGATCCACGGGGGTGGGTGCATCCCAGCCTACACCATACAGAGAAGCCAGAAGATATACACGTGCAAAAGACTGCGGGTGATTCAAGATGCACAAAATAGCGTCGTTTTGTGGAGGTCACCTTCACAAAGGGTACAATCTCCCAACGTCTGTCGAGGACGATTCCCTCTTTTCGCCTTGCCGTGATACTATGTTCTGTGACTTCTGTACATAATGCGTGCAGGCAGGAATTATCCAGCAGCAGCAGCAGCAGCAGCAGCAGACACACCCAGGTCACAATGATACGGACGCCACGGGGGGAACAGAGAGCCCGCCGAGCACGGCAGCGAACACTCGTTGTCTATAAATTGCCCAAGCTTTTTCCTCACGTGGTCCATCTGTGGGTATCCCGCAGCCTTGGTGACCGCGTATCCTCCCAACAACGTGCCTGCCGGGAGGAGGTACATCTGGTAGTACTCTGGGGGGTCATCCGGCCGCTTGAACATGTCAAGCATCTTCTTCGTCACCTGCATGCAGGGGAAACAAAAGGCGGGCATGCGAGAGACGAGGCAGAAGACAGAGGAGTGGCAGGCGCATCAGTAAAGGTTGTGACGTAAAAGACAACGCCCAGAAACTACCGTGGGGTACGTGGTCTACACGCTCGAGCATCGTGTTGAGAAGCGTATAGTTGGCAGACAACTACATGCGAGTGGCGTGCCGTATCTTCTTGTCCGTACCGCCAACTACCACTGCCGATTAGTCAGTACAGTCGACCCCGCTTTTAAGGACGATTTCTTTCGGGAAAAACCATGTGCGTCCTTCAAGCTGGGTCGACGGTAGTATCTTGTTCGCCACCAGCTGGGGGCGGGTGAGGTGCATAATTTAGAGGCAACAGGCGGGGCACCATACACCCAGGAACTGTCGTTATGTTTGGGCGTGCACAAGATATACCCAGAGCAGACGGTCCTAGTTGACGGCACCCTTAACGAAACGTGGTGGTGAACGCGCATAAATAACCCTACTGTACGTCAAGCTCCATGGAAGCGATAACATGCCAACTTGCCAGAGAGATAGACCGAAAAAGACGACATGGATGCAAAAACAACGATTGCCATCTAACACTGCTGGCTGTGTTGTAGCATTTGTCGGGCGGGGTGACGAACATCTTGCAGCATCAGAATCACAAAAAAAAAAAAGAATACAGCAGCAGCAGGAGCACGGCACGCTCGGTCGTGGACTGAACACAGGCCACAAAACGACGGATGTAACAGAAAAGCGTGTTTACGCGTACGCCTCAAAAACAGCACAAACCAAAACACCCACCAGGAAACCGCCCGAGATGTTAACAGTGGAGATCAGCACCGCCCCAGCCCCGAGAAGCTCCGCCGTAGTGTGCGGCACGAGCCCGGGCCCCATGAGGTACATGCCTCCCAAGGCCGTCAACCCCGAGATGGCGTTGGTCACCGCCATTAGGGGAGAGTGCAGGGAGTGAGACACCCCTTTCACGACCTGTGTGTGTATCGTGCCGCGTCGTATCGCGTGGTCGGTCGAGAGGGAAAAGCGGGTGGTGATCATGAGAGCACCACCGGAAGCGGGAAAAGAGGCGGGAGGGTCGACGTCATTATTGGGTGGTGTTGAGTGGACGTGTTTCTGTGCCAAGCAGGAACACGCCTCCCGACAGCCGCTCCCACATAGAAAAGGGCATCGTCAGGGCTGTACCAAGAAGACAATCTATTGAAAATCGGAACAGTATTGTCTGGAGGAAAAACACCAAAGGACACACACAATGTGAACGACTCGCCGACTCACAACACACACCCCGACCCATCAAACCACGAGAGGGTGCCCGGCAAGACCACAGCCGCTAGCCACTACCCCACACCCTCATTCCCTTCGCCTCTATCCGCTGCCTTTCGTTTCGTGGGTTCTTTCTTCCTCCTCCCAACTAGATGGCTGTCATACAGCTTGCCTGGTAGCCTACGATGCCCGAGAGCGCGAAGGTCGTCATCATGTTGCTGAACGCCAGGTTGGGGCTGATCATGCCGAGCCCCAGCACCGTAGCCGACGTCGCCGTTGTCCTCATGGCACTCTTTTTGTACATGGCCTCTATGTCGATCGGCACTGCCTCTACCTCCTACAGCAGCAACAACAGGCAGGGGGGTAGGGCTCGGTTCAAGATGGTGCCTGCCGTAAACTAACTTTCCCATACCAGGGAGGAGCGGAGAGGAGGGCGGAGGAGAGCGGGCTTCGATCGAATGCCGCTATTGCTTCTTGTGGACAAATGGAACGGTCGGCATGGCCTAGACCGCTCATAGCCGCCATGACAGGAGGGGGTCGATGCTGTGGCCTTCCAAGAGTGTGGCGCCTTCCCTTCCCCCTTTCGACTACACTACGCAACCGGGGGTGCGGTCTCTTTGTCCGTCTCTCTCTCTCTCTTTCTCTCTGTCTGTTTCTCTCTCCCTCCCCCTCTGTCTCTGTCTCTGTCTCTGTCTCTCTCTGTCTCTCTGTCTGTCTGTCTGTCTGTCTCTCTCTCTCTCTCTCTCTCTCTCTCTCTCTCTCTCTCTCTGTCTCTCTGTCTCTCTCTCTCTTCTCACCTCCACCTCGTCCTTCTTCGCGGGTGGCGGAGGCGGCGGCTTCTGCGGGGCCGGCCACGTTACCGTACCACCGTCGACGGCGAGGACTCCCCTCACGGCCTCGTCATTGTAGTCGATCTGGAACTTCTCCTTGTCGCTGGTTTCCCGTCATGGAATGCGCCAAGCGGGAAAGTCAGGGTGAGATATTGCGTTGAACATACGTCTGTTTCCATGTTCGATGTATCCAATGGCATCAAGCACACCCACATTTCGCTTTCCAACCCAAGGTACGTAATATTCGCACGTGTGTCCGAATCCAATCCGCTACTACCACGGAATGTGAACGATTAGTCCGCACGTCGTTTCGTGTCATCCCGTTCCATGCTGTTCCGTACCGTGATGTATCCACACACAACGGGGCGGGACAGTGGACGGTGTGGGATAAGGGCAAGGTCTTGCGGATGGCTTGGCTTTGCGTGCGCATTTGTGCTCCTTGTCCCATATACGACGGCCCCCCCAAGACTCGGAGTTGACTTCTGCGTACCACGGCAATGTACCATGTAGGCATTCTTCCGCGCGAAGAAGTCCCGCAGCCAGTCGGGCGGGCGGAAGCAGCGGCCGTCACCCGCTCCCTAACGACAATCCCAGCAAACCACACAAATATGAGACGCACGGGACAACGTCGCCCAGCCAGTCAAGCCACACCCAAGCCAAAGCCAAGCCTAACTGCAAGAGGCTTACCCCCGTGCTGAAACGGACCAGCCGAGGAGAAGAGCTTAACCACGTTGTTGGAGAAGAGGGCAGACGCCGTGTTGGCCAGCCGGCTGGTCATGTCCGTGTACCCAATACACGTCACGCCGTTGGGGGTCTTGTACACCTGAAGAAGATGTCGGTGTAAAGGGATGGGGGGGGGTGGGGAGCACAGGTGTGAAAGTGCCTGACGTCAGGAATCGAGTGTTGGGGTTTGGGAAAGGGCTACAGGGGTTGGGGGTAGGCTCGATACCAAAAAATCACAACTAGTTGTCGGTGTAGCCAGAGGTGGGGGGACGAGGATAAATGGACGCCGTAGGAGGGGGCACCGGCGAAAGAAAAGCCCATGCATGTGTATCCCCCGGTGCCGGGCAGGGGGGGCAGGGGGTGTGGCTCACGGTACGGTAGTGTCTTGAGTGGGAACACGAGAAAAACTGCAAACGACAACCACGCCGGCAAAACCGTCTGCTCGAGAAACGGTACCGGCACCGAACATTTAGGCGGCGTTGTCTTCTGCTGCTGATTCAAAACAAAAACACCACAGTCGGAGATGCGTCGTGGCTCATGTCGACGCATCAGCGCCCGCTCTTCCTTGGACCGCTTGACTTTTGTACCAAAAAACAAGTAACAAGAAGCTCGAGAGCTGTACCGCCCGAGAGAGCTCCAACGCAACGCCAAAAAGGCAAAGCCGAACAAGATACGATAGGTACAAAATGGCTCGTCTGAGTCTTGTTGGCTTCCCGTCCACCACGAAACAAAACGAAACGAAACGAAACGAAACGACGCGAAGCGAAACGGTTCTCGGCACACACACCTCGTCTGCTCTCGTGGTGGCGATGTTCCCGCCCGTGGCAGCCGCGAGGTCGACGGTTACGCTCCCGACCTTCATGGAATCCACCATGGGCTGTTCCGTTCCGTGACCATCATGGTATGGGACAAGTGTTAATGTTCACAACAACGGATTATCGACGAGGGGCGGAACCCCGAGGGAGGCGGGGGGGGCAAGGGGATGTTCAACAACATAGCTCCGTAGGTCGCCTACACGCATGCGCACCGGGGTGGGATAGGCGCAAAACATAATGAGAAAATGCCTGCACAACACCGGTGTAGTTCCAACGGATCTCAGTAATCCCAACGGATCTCCCCGCAGTGGGCAACAACATGCATATGCTTAGTGGCCAATCAACCAGCAGCACGGCTTCCTCTAGCCGGAAAACAAATGTAGTATGTCTCTTCCGTTTGACCGGCCGAAAGCATCACGGTGGAACAAACCGAGACGCAAGCTAAGAACCGGAAGCGGGGCAGATCGTATCCCTTGCCGGGCAAGCCTGAGCCTCTTCATGCAGCGAACAGACACAGAAAACACCACACTGACCCTCTGCACCTCCGCCCCCCTAAAATAAAAAGAAAACAAGCGCGGTAACCAGCACGAATTCGGTCCTGCCCGTCTCGCCAGGGTTCCACCCCCGTCACCCAATCTGGACCCATACATCAACAAAACAACCCCCCCCCCCCCCCGCGAAGGTTAAGGGTGGGTGAAAAAACTGCCGTGCCCCAAAACAACAAGGGGGGAAGGGAAAATAAAACAATTCCTGAAATTTGGGGGGAAAGGGAAGAACCCGCTGAAGGGACTGTTGTACAACTGGGTGTGGAAAAACGAGTATGCGCCAAGTAGATGGAGGAAAGGAGTGGTTGTGAACCTGTTTAAGAAAGGAGACAAGACTGACCCAGGAAACTACAGGGGTATCACACTGTTGAACACAGTAGGAAAAGTGTTTTGTAAGCTGCTGAACGATAGGATAGTGGGAGTACTGGAGAAGAAACGTAGCATTAGTGAGGGCCAGGCAGGTTTCCGACAGAAGAGGGGGTGCGTAGACCACGCATTCACGGTAGGGAGAATCATCCAAGGTAGAAAGAGGGCGGGAAAGCGGACGTACTGCTTCTTCCTGGACGTGAAAAAGGCATACGATACCGTATGGAGAAATGGGCTGTGGAAACAATTGTCCAAGTACGGGATCAAGGGGAAAATGTGGAGGGTGCTGAAGAAGATGACAGAGTGTACGAAAAGCGCGGTCATGCTAGACGGAGAACTGTCTAAATTCTTCGACATTGAGCAAGGGGTCCCACAAGGTTGCACGCTGTCCCCAACATTGTTCCAGGTGTTCATCAACGATCTGTTGGAAGTCGTAGAGGCAGTCCGGAAGGGAGTAAAAGTAGGGGACACGGAAACTTCGGTGTCAGGAATGCTGTTTGCGGATGACTTTGTTGGTATGTCGGACACCCCTGAGGGACTGCAACTGCAAATTGACGCGGCGAAGAAGTTTACTGATAAGTGGAGATTGTCTGCCAACGTTGCGAAGAGTGCCGTCATGGTATGCAACGAGGGCAGGAAGGAACCAGTAGAACATAGATGGAAGTGGGGGATCGAGGAGATTGCAGTAGTGGACCAGTACACATACCTCGGAGTAGAGATCGCAAAAGATTGCTCGTGGAATGCACACATGTCCAAGGTAGCGGAAAAGGGCAAAGCACGAGCAGGGAAGCTGCACCCAATACTCGCAAACCGGCACCTTGATACACGCATCAAACTGACGGTTTTGAAGAGCGTAATCGTACCGCCGCTAGAGTACGCCGGAGAAGTATGGGAAGGAAATAAGAAGGTAGTGAAAGAACTCGAGGCGGCGCAGATGAAAGCAGCGAAAATCATCCTAGGATGCTCCAAGCGCACAAATAATGCAGCAGTCAGGGCAGAATTGGGGATCCAATCCCTACGGTCGGGAAGAGACGTAAGGAAGCTGACATGGCAGTATCGCATGTGCGGGATGGGAGAGGAGAGGTTGCCGAGAATAGTATGGGAGGCGAAGTGGGCAAACAAAAAGAGGGGTAGACAACCCACGGAATGGGTCAAGGTTGTAGAGGACGTATGGAAGGGATTGGACATCGACGAAGATGAAACGCTGGAAACGGAGGGTCTACAGGGGTTCAAGAAGAAGATATCTGTTGCTTGTGCCGACAGAGAAGAACAGAATCTAAGGAAAGAATCCAAGGATAAGGAGGGTCTAGAAGTGTACGGAATGTTGAAAGAAGGAATAGGGTTCAAGGATTACCTACATGGACCAATGGATGCAGGGACAAAGCTTAAGGTCAAATGCAGGACCGGGGACATAGGCCTTCGCGAACGTCGACGAAGACATAGGACGGTAGACGACGAAGACGACAAGTTCAAATGCGATTGCGGCTTCGAATGCGAAGACAGTGTTCATGTAGTCGCGGAATGTCCGTGGTACGAAAAGGAGAGGGAAGTGTACATGACTGAGCTGGGAAGAATACAAGGGACGTACAGGGAGATGTTTGAGGCATGGAATAGAGAGGAGAGGACGGTAGCGGTACTGGGGAGTAGAAAGTGGTTTGAAAAGGCGGGAAGTGACATCGGTAGGATAGACAAACTAGGGAAGACATTTTTGAGCCACCTTTGGCCAAGTAGGAAGGAACGATTGGCCATCGGTGATCGGTCCTGTGGGAACAATGCTCCGTCCTCTCGAGGACGCGTGGTCAATGGTCTAACCGCTAAGGCATGCAAAGCATAAGAGTACGCCCCCCCCCCCCCCCCCCCGGGCCCGCCCCCCCCCACCCCCATAAACCCTGGGATTATTTCCCCTCTGCCCTTCCCTCCCCCGGGAATGACGGTGGGGCATGTTGAACTAAAAAAACTCTGCGACCAGGACCCCCCGCCCCCGGGCCTTCCATGATATCTGGAAGCAAATCCTTGGGGGGAAAGCAAAATTTACCCCCCAAACAAAAACGGAGGCTTTCGAACCCACCCGGCAGTGTAGCGTTAGCATTCACGTCGAGATTCACCCCCAGGAACTCCCCGATTCCATGCCACCTGAAAGCCTAAATAGCATGTTAGCACTCACTTGGAGATCGACCTCTAGGAATTCCCCGCCGAGTGACTCGATCTGCTCCTTCACGGCCGGCCTGACGTCGAACGCCTTCACCACCGCCCCCATGTTCTTGGCCGCCTGCACGGCCGCGAGGCCCGCCACTCCGCCCCCGAGGACGAGCACCTTACAAAAAAAAAAAAAAGTGGTGTGGGTTGTTAATGGGTAATCACCGTGCATCTGCAAGCGGCGGCGGGGGGATGGACGCACGCGTGTCGCAAGAGAAAGCGACGTGAAGGTAGATGTCGGGGGCAGGGAAAATGGGTGGGCACTCCTGTTTGTTGGACCTATTATACGGAAGCCATTCGTGCTACGTTTTCAACCGTGTTTGCTTTGGAAATCTAGAAACCGACGAGTGGAGAAAGGGGATAAATCGCTTGTACGTGGGGTGCCCATTTGTAGCAAACCCTTGGGAGGAGAGCACTGCTCGCCCCCCACCACGTTGAACAAGTCCTAGCCATGTGATTGTATGCACTATAATAATGCTTTGAGCACCAAGGGGCACCGCCACCAAGTACGCCGTACCCTCTGCCTCCTTACCTCT